TGTGTGTGTGTGTGTGTGTGTGTGTGCGCGCGCGTGTGTGTGTGTGTGTGTTGTCATATTCGCTATACACTCAAAAAAGGCATGACTGTACCAGACTGTTTCGTCGGACTTTCACCGACTCATCAGGAGGTTGAACCCCAACAGTCTGCCCAGGATGCATTTGACTGATGGATAAGGAAGGACTCACCACATCGCCCAGAGTTAGCGATACCCCTGAGAAAAGTGGTCGAGTTTACTGACACCAACCTTGCACTGTGTGTGTGTGTGTGTGTGTGTGTGTGTGTGTGTGTGTGTGTGTGTGTGTGTGTGTGTGCATTAAGAGGAAAGCCGCTTGCTGCTGGGGTCAAACACTTCATCGAATAGAACAGCAGGTAGCCGAGAAAACGATACCGCCTTCATCGAATAGAACAGCATCTAGAGATTCTATTCGCACATGTGATCGCTGACTGGAAACCCGCCTACATTCACAACATAATGTATCTAGAAAAAAACTGCCCCTTACATACAATTTTCACCATTTACCTGCCTGTGGCAATCCAGTCAGAAGGAAGACCGCGCACAAGGATGGACCCATGCTCTGATGGAAGAACTCAGACAAGGTGCTCTAAGGGGACAGCTAACTTTACCTTATCTGCCTTGCCTTATTTCATTTACCTTACCTATATACTCCATAATTGCTAAGACATGCATCCAAGCCATCCATCAAACCATCCATGGACACATTAAATACTGTTTACACAGTGTTCTAGTTTGTGTTTACAGCATCACCTTGAGATTTTTTAGGTTGGGATGTAGAAAATGGGAAGAAAATGAAAACCAAATTATGAAAGAAGAAGAAGAACAACAAGAAGAAGAAGAAGAAGAAGAAAAGGCGACAGCGGCATACAGACGACAACGAGGATGGCAACGACGACGACAACAGAACAAGAAGAAGAAGGACGACGACAATGAAGAAGAAGAAGAAGAAGGACGACGACAAAGAAGAAGGAGAAGGACGACGACAAAGAAGAAGGAGAAGGACGACGACAATGAAGAAGGAGAAGGACGGCGACAAAGAAGAAGAAGAAGAAGAAGAAGAAGAAGAACGTACCCTTCTGTCAAAAAAGCGTACGATCTCTGGACCCTGGATAGAAAGCAACACCAAAGGAAAGACCACAGCATAAGACCAACAGCCATTGTCCACCAATACTTTCCCTGCTGCAGATACAGAACCGATAACATACTTTCCCGCACGTCCGACACTGTTAGTCAGCAACAGCTGACATGTTAACTGACACCTTCAGCAAAATCAATTACCACAGCTCACAGCTAGCCACAGAGCAAAGGATACTACTAAAGGGCATATGACCACCAACAGTGTGAGCTCCCACAGATTCAATTGGACAGTCTAGCCACAGAGCAAAGGACACTACCAAAGGATACTACTAAAGGGCATATGACCACCGACAGTGTTAACTCAGCCATTCCTACTGCATCCCACAGATTCAATTGGACAGTCCAAGCCCATCCAGTCCAAGGTCAGCCTTGCCACTGCATTTATTCCGATGCTTCGATCCTGGCCTCGATCTGATGCCTTGGTCCCGCTGGAATAGGCTACCTAAGTTTGCACTATTCGTTGAGATCATGCCACAGAGAAAAAGCAGGAAACGGAGGGAGATAAGAGGACGAGACACGGAAAGAGGGAGAGAGAGAGAGAGGACAGGGAGGAGGCAGCCACCATAGCTACACGTAGGAAGCACAGCAACGACTAAGTGAATCAGCAGACAGCAGACAGGAGGAGCCTACGTTGATGGCCAAAGAGGAAAACGGTCAAGTGGTGAGTACTCGGAGAGGGTTGGCATTAAACCCACCCCTCCATCTGGACCTGTTTTAACAAACCGAAATTTGGATTTCCCCGAGGCTAAATCTACAGTGGCGCCGTGAGAAAAAATAGTTGTGGTACCCTTTTTTCCCCACCGAACCTCTACCGGGCCTGGGCATTGTAGATCTTGGCCCGGTACTTGTAGACAAGAAAAAATGAACAGTGCAGCGGGTGCTTGTGCAAAAGTGTCCCCCTACACGTTTGTAAACGATTGGCCCCCAATTTGTGCACAATTAGCCCCCCATGTGTGCACGATTTGCGCCCCCATGTGTGCACAATGTGGTACCCTTCCCCACTGAACCTCTACCGGGCCTGGGCATTGTAGATTTTGGCCCGGTACTTGTAGACAAGAAAAATGAACAGTGCAGGGGCCGTTTGTGCGCAAGTGTCCCCCTACACGTTTGTAAACGATTGGCCCCCAATTTGTGCATCTGTCCTTCATTTTCGCCGGGGGAAGGGTTCAAAATTCAAATCGGTTGGCTTCGATTGGTCAACACGGTTCATGCTCTTTCCGTCTTCTTCACATAAATGTACAATGTACATACATATACTCTTTTTTTTTCTTTTTTTTCCATACACACATTTCATTCGACTGGTAACGGCACAGTTCAACTTGTTCTGCGTGGACAAATTGAACCAATCCCGGAATCAATGCAGATTATCACAAAAATCAGAAATAACTTTTTTTATCGCTTGTTATCTTTTTGAAAATTCACCGGCCTTGTTCGTTGGTTTTTTAGCCTTCGAAAGATTTATTTTTTTTTGTTCGCCGTCCACACAACTTCATCCACAGTGGCTATAAAATGGATTCATTCATTCATTCAGATAAAAAAAGGCGGATTTAATAATATTTATTGAATTTCATTCCACCAAATGGGAATCCCAAAGCGTATCATGGACGTAGCTAGCTGGTAGTGGAGATCATGGTCATCGATGGCTCGGCCTGAAAAAAGTTATTTTTCTAAACATTTTAGATTAGTTTAGTGACCAACCACATAGCGGGTAGATGGTTGCATGTCGACTCAAAGTATGCTCACACTATTAGAACTTTTGATGGACTGAATCTGGTCGCAATAGTAGTCGGATACATTCAGGGAACGGAAGGGTGAGGATGGAATGCATTACTTATCATTCTGAAAGGGAAAAAAAAAGGGGAAAAAAGGGGGGGGGGGAAAGAGGGCAGCAGCTCACGTTGCTCTGTTGCGCTACATACGGAACAGGACTTGAACTCTGAACCTCTAGTTGATTAGTAAGGGCATACTCAACTAGGACTTTTTCAAACTTAGCTCTGGACATATTAGCGGTCAGATTCACCCACACCTGGCCGTAAAAGCCGTCAGATTCATTCAGGATAGTCCTAATGTGAATACAGCCTAAGTGTGCAAAGACAAGAGGTGACCAACGGTTCGGCCTGTGCGTTGGGCCTCGCTCCACTACTCACCAAATGTGCAAAATGAGAATGAATCTTCCGCTAGAACATGGGAAGATACACCGCCATATCTTTTGTCTTTTGTGCATGTGGTAAGAGTAGTGGAGCGAGGGCCTTTTTCACGGAAACATCCTCGAAGGTTCTCGTTCATGTAGTCTTTTGGCCATTTTTGCCCTGTAAATAGTAAATGCCCATAAGACGCAATGAACCAAGCTTGATATGTCAAATTCGTGTTCGAATGCGATGGGCCTCACCTCTCCACACTATTCACCAAAATGGAGAATGTATTTTCCCATAAAACAAGGAAAGGTACACTTGAAGTCCAAAGATCCAATATTAAATTCCCCCTAGGCGGGAGTTGTCTCTAGGTCTGTAGAATGAAATCTGCGTTGTGCAGATGCATAGACCCCTTCCCGATTACTGATGAGATTGACAGTGCTTTCCTATTACTACGTACCTTTCGGGTTGGGCAGGTACTATGGGTCCTCTGACTTCCAATAGTTTTTCGTCTTTTTCACATTGGGTGATTGGTCCAGCGATGTCCTATGTGTTCAAGATTCAGGGCACACTCGCACTCTGGCTTCTTCAACTTCTCTTCCGACGTAATTGTGGTCAAGTGCATCCAGGCCTGGCCACAAAAGCAGTCAGATACATTCAGGAAAGCCCCTCGTGTGAGTATCGCCTCACATCCAGGCGCGTGCCTATACAACAAGGGGCCTCGCTCCACTGAACACATGCATCCGGAGCTGGAAATGCTCCCGATCCATTTGAAATGTTCGATCGGCCGGAATGTTTCTAGCGCACAGAACAGTTAAGACAGGTGTTCATTCGAAATGTTCGATCGGCCGGAATGTTTCTAGCGCACAGAACAGTTAAGACAGGTGTACATTCGAAATGTCCGATCAGCCGGAATGTTTCTAGCGCACAGAACAGTTAAGACAGGTGTAGAATGCTCAGTCATGGAGCGGGGCCCAATGTGCTCCAAAACAGGTAGGGAAGATCACAACCTCAACCTGCACAGCTTATACCACCAGTACGTTTCCCAGTCCTTTTTTTTCGGAGTTGCGGAGCGCATGCTGCCGCGACTTTCGGGAAGTACCGGGGTGTCGCTTCGCGGCACATCCGTCCAGGCAAAACGGGCCCTACATGCAACCTGCTCGCCTGGATGGCACAAGAGGTTAACGGGGCATCTGGTTTTCAGGCCTGAAATTTCTGAAATTAGGGTTTTGGGCGCAAATTTCATGTTTTTTTGGAATTCAAGTTTTTGCTATATATGCATTTTGATAGGGTTGCCGTATATGAAATTTGGGGTTATTTGGAGTTTTAGAATTTGCGCTATTAAGATTTCTGAAATTTCTGAAATTGGTCGAGTTTTTTTGGGGCCAAATTTCATGGAAATGCACCTTTGGCTTGCTGTTTTATATGTTTTTAATTGCTTTTTTTAGGGTTTTTTTCTGCGATGGGGTCGTAAGAAGTGCACTCTATAGATTGGTGTGAAGTGTTGTTAAAATGACTGTCTGGTTTTCTTATAAATGGGCCTGAAAAATGGGTGCTCGGTTAACCTGCTCTCCTGGATGGATATGGATATGCAGCAAAACGACGCCCAGGTACTTCTCGAAAGTCGCGGCAGCATGCCCGCTATGACTCTTAAAAAAATGACTGGGAAACGTACCGGTGGTTAAAAAAAAAAACACCAGTTCACACAAACCTAAGTCGTGCTCTTATCGGTATACGCAGCAAGAGCATTTCATTTAGATTCGAGCCTAGGCCGGTAGCAAAAGCAGCAGGCCACGTCGAAAAGGCGCGCAGTTGCAGGCGTGTGTTAACTGGTGGTTTGGTTTAAACCACCAGTACATTGCTCAGCCATTTCGCAGAAACACGCCGTGCATGCATGCTGCCACGTCGAGTGGGATGTACCAGGGTGTTGTTTCACTGGAAATTCATGAAAAGGCAAAACGGGCCGCATGCATGCATGGCGCGCGTGTCTGCAAAATGGCTGGGAGACTAACTCGTGGTTAAAAAAAGAAAAAACGAGATAAATGGAGAACGGCACAAGAAGAAAACACACACCGACCAAAAAGAAACGAAAACAAAGACCACCAAACCTGCTGCATATCGACGGTCATCAGATCATCAAGAGCAGCACCTCAAATCACCTGACAGCAAACAAACAAACAAACAAACAAACAAACAAACAAACAAACAAACACCACCAAACCTGCTGGCTGCGTATCGACGGTCATCAGATCATCAGGAGCAGCACCTCAGATCACCTTCCATCAGATATTACTAAAACTCGAAGAAAGAGAAAAAGACTTTACGAAAAACGTCAGGAAAAGAAAAAGTACTGCCCCATAAATAAACTTCCCCCCCCGCCAGAAACGGACATTTCATTTTGCTAGTTCATTCCTCTACGCAGTAAGTTCAAAACCCCCGTCTCTCTCTCTCTCTCTCTCTCTCTCTCTCTCTCTCTCTCTCTCTCTCTCTCTCTCTCTCTCTCTCTCTCTCTCTNTCTCTCTGTGTGTGTGTGTGTGTGTGTGTGTGTGTGTGTGTGTGTGTGTGTGTGTGTGTGTGTGTGTGTGTGTGTCTCGCCTCCCCCCTCCCCCCACCCGTCTATTGTCTAGGGGGTGCGTGTGCGCCAGTCCTGTTCTAGCTTCATATCTGTCGATACCAAGATACCCCCACCCTTCTCCGTCCCTGCCTCTTATGCCCCTCTTCCCTCCCACGGCCAAGCACATGTTCTTTTTTTTTTTTTTTTTACAAAACTCAACGCCAAACGCACGTTCAGTACTTACCGGAGGGAGTTTGTTGAAGAAGCTGATAAATCCTTGCGCTTGACGTGCATCTACAAACGCACACAAGTACAAAGACATAATCAGCAGATTAATGATGATACCCCTCGATCGTTCCCATTGGCTGAAAGTGCTTTTTCGGAGACGAAAACAATAAAAAAAAAATTGACCTCTCATCCGCATACCAATCTAACCTTCTCAAACTTAAGAGGGGGGATGGAAGGAGGGAAGGGAGGAGGGGAGGGAGGAGAGGAGGGAGGAGGGATGGAAGGAGGGATGGGAGGAGGGATGGGAGGAGGGGAGGGGAAGGCCGGGGGACAACTGTGTTGGAATCCACAGAAGTCCGACTAGTGCGAATACCCCTTAAGTGGTCATAACCCTGCGACAGAATTGTCCAAAATATTTTTCCTGTAATAAAAAGATATCTCCATTATTCATCTGCCGCAAAATCCCACCACCAAAGAAAGGGATTGGATTTAACCCCTGATCGTCTTCTTGATGAGAGGTGCACAAAATCCTGATTTATCTGCTTGCTTGCTTTTTTTTTTTTTTTTTTTTTTTTCCCAACCAACCTTGCAATTCATTTCCCGTGGACGTCCGTCCTTCTTGCTGCTCACCTCCACACTATTCAGCCCAATCTTTTTTTTTCCTTTCTTTTTACTATTCGCTCCAATCTTGGGAGTTTCTCTAAACTGATTTTTTTATTATTTTTTTAACTGATTTTTACCCAAAGCGAGGCGATGCGAGGCAAGCAAGTCTGGACATGGCGCGCAGCAGCCTCGAACTCAATCAAGCCGTTGATTTTTTTGCCTCGCTTCGGGTAGTTTTTCGACCGAACCTGTGACCCAACTTGTGACCAGATACAATTGTTTAAGTCCTATTCTGGGCATATACTCACTCTCGATCGAAGCCCCTCCCGTTTTCCGCAGAACACAACGCACCCATCGTGACTGTACTTGACAGGAAAAATACCTTGTATTCATTCATGATCAGGGTGCGTTGTGTTCGCGGGAAGAGGGTATAGTCAGAGACTTACGCCTCCGACGAATCCAAAGCGTCAATCATCCCAGCAATCATCGGCTGTAGAATGATCTCAGGGGTTTTTTCTTTTTTTTTAAATATCACGGCTGTCTTTTTCATTTTTTTATTTTTTCTAATAATTTCACGGCAATTTATTTATTTTTTATCTCACGCCTCCAATCATCAGTCGAATGATTGACGGTCTTCTCCACTCGGACGGATGATTGCCGTCGTCACGTCGGATGATGATTGGCTGTCATCAATCAATCACGGCTGGACCCTGTTGTGACCTGATTGATTGATATCACCTCCGCACAATTTTTTTCATCGATTCGATCTGTACACCTGTCAGATTAGATCATCACACCAATCAGATCAGATCCGTGTACCAATCAGATCAGATCCGTATACCAATCAGATTAGATCGACAAATGCTACCTCTCTAGGATTGGGTGAAAATTGACACTAATTATAGATTAGATTAACAACACAAGGGTTATTTTCTATCTAATCTAATTTAATCTAATCTAATCTCATCTAATCTAATCTAATATGATCTAATTTGATCTAATCTAATATACTCTAATCTAATTTGATCTAATCAAAAATTTAATTTAATATAATCTAATGTAATCTAATCTAACTTGATCTAATCAAATCGAATCTATCGAATCTAAACTACTCTAAATCTAATACAAATATTCGAATCTAATCTACTCTAATCTCATATAATATTGTTGTCTAATCTAATGCAATCTAATCTAATGCAATCTAATCTAACGACCAAGATTGATCGACCAACCGGCAATTACATTCTGATTGCCCCATCGGCTACATTTGTAAATACGCGTATCATTGAACGACACAGTCATGTGAAGGTATACAAGCGTCGTTTCCGGTCCCATACAGTAAAAATGAGGATGTATACGCGCTACAAAAGAGGGTGTATACAAACCACACTTACGATCAAACAGAAATACTTGGTTTCCAGAAAAGCTTCCCTATGACCGGATACATACTACCTATCATAGATACAAAGTGCCTTTTCTTCTTCTTCAACGCGTCGGGGAATTTGCGGGTTTCCAGAAAAGCTTTTCACTTACGATAAAACACAAATTACCCTGTCGATTCTCAGAACGGTCGGGTCGAAATGTTGGGTGGTGCCGTAAGGCGGATCTGGGGAGCAGCCCCCTGAAAGAGTGTGCCAGGAGCGCAGCCTGACCAAAAAAAAACGCGTCGGGGAATTTGCGCGTTTCAACTGAGAGCTGTACATGCGGAGAAGTATAGATTTTACTGCATTATCGATGCGTGTACGAGAAGCAGTCTATGGCCACTGTTTTCACTATTCTTCTTCGTCTTTTTCTTCTACTACCTACAAATCAGATAAACACTTCTTCTTCATCTTCTTCTTCTTCTTCTTCTACTACTACTACTAGCTACAGATCAGATACAAACTACCTCTTCTTCTTCTTCTTTTTCATCTTCTTCTTGTGCTTCTTCTTCTTCTTTATCGTTCTTCTACTTCTTCTTCTACCTAAAAATCAGATAAAAGCTGCCTCCAATGAAAGATTTATTCCTCTGATACACAGCCAGCTACGGTCTGCCCCCCCCCCACGAACAGAAAGCACCCTGATTATAAACATGCATACATGCTATCTTCCCGGTCCCATATGGTCAAAAAACGAAGGTGCGTTGTGTTCGGGGGAAAACGGTAGTGGATAATAAGATCCTTCGCGGCAGAGCTGACGTGTCAAGTTCGCCAGGTCAGATTGTTCCACACCGCTATTTTTTATCTCGTTAAAGATCTTTTTTTTTTTCCATGGATCTTATCTCTTATTGTGGAACGAAACAGTTCTTCACAGGGCATACTCGCACTACCACATTTTTCCTTATTTATCGACATATTTCGGTGAGATGCATCCAGGTCGGGCCGTAATTTCGGCCAGATGCAATTATACTAAGATAAAAGCTAGTGTGAGTACGCCCTCAGAGACGTTCTTGTCTCATCATCTTTTGTCAGAGAGAGATTTCATCGGATCAAATCCAATCTAATCTACTAATCTAATTTAATCTACTAATCTGATCTGATCTAATCTAATCCAATCTAATCTAATCTAATCTAATCTAATCTAATCTAGATTTAAGTCAGTACAATGCCCATGTTCTCTACTATCTTTCAGTGCGATTTCATTGGAAATCTTGTCGCAGATGTTTGTCAGAAACAATTTTTGTGAGGTCAACCATTCAGATCCCCGCTGTCAAATCGCTGTCCTCAGTGACGTTCGTTACAAACTTTGTCAGAGATCAACCATTCAGATCCCCGCTGTCAAATCACTGTCCCAATCTTTCTAGTCGTTCGTGCATAGTCCCGGCATAATTGAGAATGACACGCACGACTAGCAAAACGGTCCAATTATTCATTCAAAAAAAAAAAAAAAAAGAGAGAGACAATATCGCTCTTCGGATCTTGCCCAAGCAATTTCGTTAGAGAACTTGTCAGAGATGATTGTCAGAAAGAACCTTTGTCAAAGCTGTTTTTCAGATTTGTCAGAGATGTTTGTTAGAAACAATCTACTTATTATTTTTTAATAATGTCAGAAACAATCCTTGTGTCAGAGATGTTTGTCAGAAAAAAAATCATTGTAGGATATCAGTTCAGATCCGATCTGTCAAATCGCTTTCCCGAGCTTACGAAAGAGAGGTCCTCCTCAATTGGTACACCCAATGAATTATTGAAATACAGACCCAAGTTTGAATCCTGATGGACCTAGACGTATTTAACGAAATAATTCTGAATTACCTGGCGCTGGTCCACTCGATGATGATATTTCAAGGACGTCGCCCTATAATTAAAAAAAAAACAAAAAAAAAAATCCTCAGAGATCTTGTCAGTGATCGTGTCAGAAATTTTGACAGAACAAGTGCATAGGCCTCTCGCCTCCATTGCTCCGTCGGAATCCCGATTCCCTTCCAGCCACCTGCACCCCTTTTTACACAGAGGGCTTCTTTTTTTATAGGGTCGGCTTTTTTTTTCGTAGGCAGGGGTTCCTTTTCAGTGCGAGGGAGAGCTGCTTTTTTTTCATAGGGAGGGTTCTCTTTTATAGGGCTCTTTTTTTTTTTTTTTTTTGTAGGGAGAGCGACTTCTTTTTTACAGAGAGGAGCCTTCTTTCTTATATAGGAAAGATTCTATTTTATATCATAGGGACGGTTTTTTCTTATAGGAACGGCTTCGTGTTTTTTCTGAAGGGGCCTTCGTGTTTCTCTAAAGGGATTCATTTCATTTCCTTGAGGAGATGAGCAACCATTTATCTTTTTCCGTTCCTTCTCATTCCGTTGAGTCGTTTTCCAAAGTCCAGTCCTCAACCCTCACTAAACAAATACATCGTACTGCATGCGAACGTAAGCTGTGTTCACGGAATCATACATTACAATATGAATGCATGTGAGCATATATATGGATCAATGTCAGTTCACGTGACCTCTGTTCATTTGTGTGTATGTGCGTGTGTGCAAGCTCAACAACTCCACATATAAAGGGGTGACGGTGACAGGCTGTTTCATTAAATTCCATCCACTCAAATATGGGCGTGTAAGAGAGAGAGAGAGAGAGGGAGAGGGAGAGGGAGAG